AAAACAACATGGCCCAAAAAACAAAGACCACCAGATAGGCTACTCCAGTCGCATGGGGAAAGGCTATTCAAAGGCCTTGCTGGAATGCCTTCTCTATTTGATTCTATCCTTCACCTTCCTCGACCCCTTGCACTTTTGAAACAAAACAAGTTCTTGGCGGACTCAAAACAACAAGCCCCTTTCCTGAGGTCTTCGCTTGGCTGAAGCGGCTGAGCTCCTGGAAGGCTTTCGGTTTCCCGAGAAGAAAGGCAGCTCCAGAACGGTTGAACTTTCATGCAGCTCATGCTTCACTACAACAGGCAGCTGATGGACTGAATGTCGAAATTCAGGATTCACTACCATCATTGGAAGCAAGAACGCATAACTACCTCCGACAAAAAAAGAAAAGAAGAGAAACCCAATAAAGAAGCGATAGCGATGGCCTACCCGAGCGATGGCCTCCAACCTACTAGCGGCCTCCAGGAGCGAGAAAGAACAAGTAAGGAACATTGTTACTACTAGTAAGGCACTTGTTACTACTAGCGATGCACTTGTTCCTAGTAGCGAACATTGTTCCTAGTAAGGCCAGGAGCCCCTAGTAGCGTCCGATCGTTCCTAGTAGTGATGCCCTTTGCTCCGTTCGTAGCTTTTAGTCTTTTCTTTTCCTTTTTCTTGATTCTGATTGATGTCGTTGGCTGTAAGGAGTTTCCATCCATGAAGTCCGATACCGTTTCTGCTCCTCAGACCCGGCGTCTTTGGCCGATGGCTGGTCAAGCGTCCGTGCCTAAGGAAGAACAAACTCTGTATTTGGCAAAGAGAAAAGAGACGAGTGAAGCATATTAGCATATCTTCCCTTTCTTATTCTCATCAAAGCATATCCTTTTGCAAACACGTGGTCACAAAGACAGCCTTAACTCGCGAAACGGACGGAGACTGTTGAGTTCTCCACCAGCCATTCTTGAACCTGAGCTTCTTGTGCCTCCAAAACAGTTGATTGCACGCGACAGGTGCCGAAGAAACGACTCGAATCCCTGCAATGGCACGAACCTCTTCAAGTTCAGATGAGTCTTGGACCTGGAGGACAAAGCGTCAGGTGGCACCAAGGAAGGATAGAGTGCGTGTGGCGTGTTATGTCACATTTTGTTTGCGACGATTCCCATTTCTTGCCATGACTTGTTGTCCAAGCATTTCTGGTTGGTCTTCAAGGGCCAAACCTCTTTCTCCTGCATCTCTTTCAGGGCCTGGCTTGAGAAATAGAAGAAAAGCCAAAACAACCTGAACCATAGGCCGAGGGTTCTGGTAACTTCAACCTTGCCCCTCTATCTCTTTCAATGATAGCGATGGCCTCCACATTGTTTCTTGACCCTTTCTTTCTTCCTTCCTTCCTTTCCTCCCTGGATAAGGTATCTCAACTACGCTGAAACATCTTGGGTCTCGAAGATCTTACCGAGTCTTTCCCTTTGCACTTCGCAAACAGCATAATGCAGCATACTGCAGCATACTGCTTGGGCAACGGGTGTGCAGCAGGTGTGCTTGGAGCAGCTGCTTCATCTAACGCCTCAGCCTTTCTACTGATAGTCTTCTAGGAGAGCCACCCAGAAGCTCATTAGACATTCAGATTGAGTCAGAATTGAGCCTGAACAGTTGTTACTCTGGCCATCAAAAAGCACGAACGATGCACTCATCATGCCTGCCTCCTCAAAGGTCCGAAGAAAAAACACCGAAAACAATGTTCGCTATTAGAAACAAGAATTAAACTAATTACTAATCATATTGAGTTTATTAAGTTTATTAACTCTTCAGACTATTGTTATTGGTAGCTTCTTGTTACTACCTGTAAGGCACTTGTTACTAGTAGCGATGCACTTGTTTCTAATAGCTTCTTCTTGTTTCTAATTGAAAAAAAACAAAGATTGCCACATGGTCTGGTCTTGGGTGCGAACGACACGGACACCTGGTGCTTGGAGAATTCTTCGGTGCTGCCTGCATTGAGTCGACCTCTTTGGTCGCCGAAGAACGCGTTTCTTTCAGCGCGGAGTCGGCTTGGTGCAAGGACGCCTGAGATCGCCGCAACTACGAACGAATGAAACAAGGTTCGCTAGTAGTAACAAGTGCCACGCTAGTAGTAACAGGTGCCTTACTAGTAGTAACAAGAAGCTAGTAATTCGAAAAGAACAAAGAACACCTAGGAGCGATCGGATGCTACTAAGACTAAAAGAAAAATGAACAAAAGGAAGAACACAAAAAACATCACTTGCACACCCAGAGATGATGGCAAACTGCGACTGTGTCGGGAACTGGATGCGGGTCTTGCTGCCCAGAATCTATCTAGCTGCTAGCCTACTAGAGATGGCCTCCAACCTACTAGCTTACTTAGGCTTGTCAATACATCCTTTTTCTTTTCGTTCCCAGTTTTGTTTCTCTGGATCTTTGGACTTTGCTTTGGTCCTTTCATTGTGGTCGTTCCTCCAAAGAAGCTCTAAGGTCTCCGACCCAATTATCTCGCAGCTGACTTTCAAGCTTCCCGTAGCGCTTCATCCTCGAATTCATTTGTGTCATCCTTTCCAGTCCTCTGCAGGTTATCATTTCTTAGAAAAACATCACAAATCTCCTTGTAGTCTTTCCATCCAAACAAACATGTCCAAGGCCGAAACATGGTTTTGTCAACCGGAGGAGGGTGCGGGCATGGACACACCTCGGGTTGGCCAACTGGCACACAGAAAAAACAGCAGCACAGCCTTCATCAGAAACAGTCTGTCAAACAACTTCTACTAAAAGCAACGAAAGAAAGGAAGAAGAGAAGACAAGGTCCAAAGGCCTAGAGAACAAAAACACATACACAAAGAAAAACAACACTAGTTTACCTCTTCTGCTGTCTCTTAACGAACACGAGCAGTTCCTGTCCCTTAGGCGTCCGCATAGACAACCATCTTGCCAGTTGATCGTCTCAACCTCAAGCGACTCGAAACGATCGAACGCCTCGAAGGGCCTCCAACCTGTCTTTGCTACTAGTAACAGGTGCATCGCTAGTAGTAACAAGTGCCTTACTAGTAGTAACAA